CTCTCTCTCTCTCTCTCTCTCTCTCTCTCTCTCTCTCTCTCTCTCTCTCTCTCTCCTTTCCCCCATCGTGTCTGCTACCTCTGCCTCTCTCTCTCTCCTTGTTAGTCTCTCTGTTTTTTTTATTTTTTATTTTTTATTTTTTTTTATTTTTGTGTGTGTGTGTGTGTGTGTGTGTGTGTGTGTGTGTGTGTGTGTGTGTGTGTGTGTGTGTGTGTGTGACACTGTGTATGTTGTACACAACTCCACGAAAAAAAGGCATGACTGTGACAGACTGTTTGTTCGGGCTTTCACAGACTTATCAGGAGGTTGTGTGTTTGTGTGGGAGCATTCTGCGTCTTTCTTGGCGTTACCTTGGGCGATTCACATTTTGGAAAGCTGCTTCTGGTGATGTTTTCATTCTTTTTCAAGTGGGTTTGATAGGGTCAGTCAGTGGTGGATTGATTGCAGAGAGGGGTGGAGATGACGAGGCATTGTAGTCTCTGAACGAGCAGGCGTAGAGAACAGCGCATGAACTACAGGGCAAGGAGTGCAAGGCCAGAACGGCCGCCCGCAGTGCTTCGAGGGGTGGGAAGTCCGGTACGATAGGCCTTGGGAGTAGTGTGGGAGGAAGAAGCTCTCTGATGAAAGAGGAGTCTCTACCAGATTGAACGCGTCGTGGAAGGTGCGCGTTGGACAGCTATGATAGGATTTCTTTTCTTGGACCGGTATTGTTGTTTCTTGTTTCTATGGGGGCCTGACTCCAATAGTCAACATCCGACACGTATCTGGACTGTTTTATGGACCAGATACATTCTGACTGTTCAAACGTTTGGAATGTATTGGGACTAGTACCAGCTCCACGTTATGTTGAGAATGCGGAGCACTGGACCGAGCCCCTATGGAAGATCAGTGACCAGTGCCCTGTCTTTTTCACCACCCTTCTTTCGTTCCTTCAAATTTTTTTATTTTTTTTTTCGGGTCTTTTTATATTGTGGTCCGATGGACCACGGATCAGATATTAAACTGATCAAATTTTATTTTGCCTTTTCCTATTTCTTTTTTCTTTTTTCCGTTCTTTCTTTCCTGTATACCTGGCCTTAAGTGTATACAAGCGATCTTTAAGGTTCGGTGCAGCCAAAATGCGGGTGCTTTTTATGCGGGGGGAAGTCGGTGGTTCCGGCGCAATCAGTGAGTTTTCTTTTCCTTTTAGCAGACATTCGTGTCTTTTTTTTTTTTTTTTTTTTCCGTGTCATTTTACTTCCCTCTCTGAGACGAGGTAGACGAAGAAAAAGGGGAGAGAGAACGAACTCCTGCAAATGCAGGGAACCCTCTGAACAGGGGGACCGTAGTGGTATTGATAGGTACTCGTCGCTCGCCGGGCAGCATCGCGCACACCTGAACGAGATAGATCGCCGGTTCGATTCCCTGGGAAAGATAGAACCGACTCCAGATTCAGCTACTGTCTTTTTTTTTTTCTTTTTTTTTTCCACAGTCTTTTCATCACGGTGTCGCCGGTCCGTTTCTGCTCAGAACGGGTTAGGTTGTCGGCTCGATTTCCCACGGAAATGGAATTAGTCTTCTCATCACGGTGTCGCCGGTCGGTTTCTGCTCAGAACGGGTTAGGCGGTCGGTTCGATTTCCCACGGAAATGGGTGAATCTCCAGTGAGCAGTGTCCATCACTTCGTACAACCATCATGCGCGAAGACAGGTCGTCGGTTCTGTTCCCGGCTGAAAGGGCTTGATGGCCATAGAAAGTGTCCATCAGTTCGTACAACCATCATGCGCGAAGACAGGTCGTCGGTTGTCATGCGGTAACATTGCGGTTGATATTCAGATATTCAGAATTCATATGACTTCTGAGCTCTTTTTCTTGGGTTGTTTCCCCCGCTTTGCTCTTGTCTGTCTACGCGTCCTTCGGTTCACATTGTGAGTGGCTATCAGTTCTTTTTTTTTTTTTTTTTTTTTCACCCCTTTGCTTCTTTACGTGTCCTACGGTCCATATCCAGTCTGATTTACCATCCGAGATTCCGAGCACTGGATTCTGTGTAAGTATATTCATTCAAGGAAAAAGCGTTAGCAGTTCGTGCAAAGTAACTTCGGGGTGCCAGGATGTAGAGGATATTTATTTATTTATTATTATTATTATTATTATTATTATTATTATTATTATTATTGTTATTATTATTATTTGTTTTAGGATGTAGAGGATTGATGCGCATGGTTCTCTATACTTCCGGAGCTTGGAAGTATAGGAAGACTAAGGAAGTATAGAGAACCACACGGAAAACGCAATAGCCAAGGGGAATCGGAAATAGGCTTCACGTGCGCCTTTTTTACCCTTTCTGTCTGTATGTCTGTCCGTCTCTCTGTCTACATCATTCAAAAAAAAAAAAAAAAAAAAAAAACTTTGTTTTCTTCCTCGGTCTTTCTGTTTTATTAGGTAAAGAGACGCGCGAGAAGGGAACTACCGTCCTCACGCGAATAGAACGCCCGGTTATTGTCAATGCATCTAGACAGAAACTCCCACCCAATACGGATGTAATAACCAGGCGTTCTATTCGGGTGACATCGAGTAAAAAAGCGATTCAAGGAATTGTGTGATCCCAGTATTGTGTTTGTGTCTACCGTCTTCCCCCGAACATAACGCACTCTGAAAATGAATGTGTACAAGCTATATTTCCGGCCAGATACAGCCAAAATAAAGGTGCGTTGTGTTCGGGGGAAGACGGTAGTGGCGCTTCAGTGGGAGCATTCTTTGCAAGAAGGGTAAGTCGGCTGCCAGTCGCAGCGTAGGGAGCGGTTACTCAACCCGGTACTTTTGTCGATGTATCGGACCGCAATTACGGTACGAAATCGATGCATCTGACCACAATTGTGTCCAGAGATAAGGGGAATAGTTCCTACAGCGAATATGCCCTGAGTTCCCCTTTCGGACCATAGATCTTCAGTCTTCATAGCCCGCCCGATAAGGAAGAAAAAGATTTCTCCTGTCTGTTTTCTGTTCGTCGGTGAATCTTGCGCGTCGCCAGCTCGAGATATACAGTCAAGGTCTTTTTTTTTTTCTTTTTTTTTTCAGTTCATCGCTACTCAGATATGAGAAAAAAAAAAAAAAAAAAAATCCCCAGTTTCAACTGCATTTGAAACTCGAGCCCTGCTAAAACGTAGTTTGAATTGCAGTTACAAACTGTAACCCTGACTGCGCCGTAGTTTTCTCTCTTTTTTTTTAGCTATATTTTTCTGTCAATCTATCTATGTTCTCGTCTATTACTTACACTGGCAGTATAATCAGTGAGGGGATTCTGCAGACTGTTGAGGGTTCAGCCTCCTGATGAGTCGGAGAAACATACCATCGTTTGTTGTCCTCTTTTCCCTCTCTGCCAAACAGAACTGCTGGGTACACCGTAGGCAGAGAGGGAGAAGCGGGCAACAAAGGAGGGGCTGGGACAAACTGTTTCGTCGGAGTTTCATATATATATAATTGCACTATGGGGCAAGATACACCGTTTGCAATTGCACCTCGGGCACCCTACCTGGCCAGAAAACTGGGTTCTATACATTGCCCGAAATGCAATTCGAAACTGTATCTTCGCCCATATTGCAATTATAACTCATTTTTGTGACTCCTGTGTAGTTTCCTATATATATATATGTAAATATTCCATCTGGTGTGGGTTATTCCATCTGGTGTGGGTATCTGGTGTGGGTGAGTGATAGTCTGCTTTGATTTTCGTCACAGGTACCTTGAGGGCAGTGGTTGGTGGTCCCCACCACCTCAGGGTATCAGTTGTGGGCCAGTTGTTGATGCTTAACCACAACGGGAGTTAAGGTGGATTATCACTCACAGTGTACTAAGTTAGGGGATTCTGCAGACTGTTGAGGAGTTCAGCCTCCTGAAACTCCCATGAAACAGTTTGTCACAGGCCCTGGTTTGTTGTCCTCTTCTCCCTCTCTCTCTCTGTCTGCAGTTTTCCGGGTATATCTCAAATTCTTAGACATGAAAAAGGGCCAGTTGTCTATTATATCTGTCATGCACGGCTCAGGCCATGCATTGTATGGACACCAAGAGATATATTGGTGGCAAACTTTCTGAACCCTTCACTAGGGTTGGCAAAATTGGCACGCTTTGCCCACCCACCCTATGGAATAAAAGAGAATTCCCCTTTGTCTTCGATCTGTAAGGTTGTCCAGTTGGTTCAGGCCGAGAATATGTATATACGGTCAAACAGAACTGCCCGGTAAACTGTGGGCAGAGAAGGGAGGTTCTGTTTGCTCCAGCCTATTTATAGGGAGCCTCAGCTGCTGGAAATCGGATCCTGACTCGTGGGGCCAAGTCCCACTAGCAGTTGAGTTTCCTCAACGCCCGAATGTGGACGTGTTTGCGGAGAGGTGCAGAAAATCTCGGTGAGTTCCTCAACCTCACATCTCCACACACGTCCACATTGGGGCATCGAGGAAACTCGAGGTTGCTAGTGGGGCTTGGGCCCCCCTCTTTCCTTCCTCCCACCACTCGA